GGACGGAGCAGGGTGGAGAGTGAAACATCAAATATGAAACAGAACCCTGGAAGAGCTGCCCTGGGTTGCCAAAGTAAGGGGCTACCTAAAGACTTAACTAGATGTTGGTGTCCAGCCTCTGGAAAAGGCCGACTACTGGGATCTCAACTAGGGAGTCATCTCTCTGATCAGCTGCATCAGGAAATACTTCAGTGCCCCAGCCCCCACCTTCTCTCCTCTTTCTGGTATTTTAACCTTCACTGCTTTAGATGGCTACTCAGTTACCCAAATTCTGTGTCCAGAGCTTGGGGCAGAAAATTTCAGTAGGCCGCATGCCTTGCGACAGGAGCACCGTAAAACCAAGTACTTCCAACAAGCCTCATTGCTCTCTTCTGTTTGCTGTCCCATCCGCATTGCAACTTGCCTCCAAATTTGGCTACAGCTGCCACCAGGTAGGGCTTCTGCTAATCGCACAGTTGTAACTAGCACTTCATGGCAACAGTTTGTCCTCCTCTTTGGGGGTTCAAGTAGCCCATAGTCATCTTCCAGGAAGTGAATCAGAGTTCTGCACGTTTGCAGCGTACTCCTTACTCATCCTCTTGTACAAGTTTGGTGACTCGTCCTTCCTCTTAGGTCCACGTGTAGTAGGACATCCCCAAATACAGTTGTAGCAGTGCCACTGTTCTCTGCCTCACCCAGGCAAAGAGCCCACGGAATAGATGGATGTGCTAAAAAGCGCCGATAACACCAGCAAGACAGAGCGGTTTACATACCTACACTTGTTACAGCAGAGAAACTAGGTATTGTTAGTTAACTTCTAAGATTATGTTCAATTAGTTACAAAAAAAGTCAAAGTCTGAAAGAGATGCTGTCTTCTGACAGCTGAAAATTGCATTGCTACCTTTTTATTTTTTTTTAATTAGCAGAGGAGGAGGGCAGGCAAAGTAGAAGGGTTTAGATTTATGGCCAAGTTCCTCTGCCAACAGGACAGCAGTAACAGTGTTATAACTTGCGTTTTGCACAACATGTCTCTCAGGTTCTAAGAAATATACAATACCTTATCCCCTGAATCAGTAAAAGAAACAGGCAAGCACTAACTACAAGTAATGTTGTTCCATTTAATTCTCTTCCAAAAATGTATCTCAAAGTTCATGAGCTTATCTTGCTAACATGAAACTTGTCAACTCCCCTTTTAACTGACTCCAGCTTTGAAGCTTGCTAGGGCTGCAGGGCACGGAGCTGAGCAGATTTCTCAGGAAATCTTCTGTGTGTGTGTGTGGGGGGGGGGGGGGGGGGGGGGGGGCAGCGTGCAACGATTGTGGTCTTACTGCAGCTTTCTGCAGTCATTTCCAATGTCACAGTGACCTCAGTTATTTGAAAAAGAAGTTTCCAGCTGCAAGTATCTTTAATTTGCAGCTCTTACCTACTCACTGAAAGAAGCCTGCTGGGACTGGTATGCCTCCCTATTAAAGCTGTGTGAACGCTTTTTTATATTTTTAAATACTCAGTTTACATGACCCTTCTGATCTCGTGGTGATGACACGAGTACTCTAGCTAGGTTTGCCTTTCACAGCTAACGAGTGCTACTAAAACAATTTTTACACTTAAGCAATGGGATGGGTAGAGTGGAAGGAGAGATGAGTCAGCAGTTAGCAAAGTTTATTTGAATAGCAATATAAACCATGCCTGCTGCTATGACACACTCCACAAAGGTCACATCAAGTGCCTAGTATTTAGTCACTACCACCCTGGTGATATGAATTCTTTTAAGACTCTCATGTTTTTTAGATTAAGCATCCTTCTATTTGACATTTGGATGTTGTCGTATTAAACACTCACTACTTGGTGTCCGGAGGACAAGAAAGAATGCTTGACATCATTGGTACTATTCACAGTGAGGCATGCCTGCCAGATTGACAGATGCTGCTCTCTCCCCATCTAGGGGAGTTAGATGCTAAAATTAGTAACTATTAAAACAAGCGTACTGAGTAAGGACCTGCTGAATCTGATCAACAAGAAATACTGAAGAGAAGGTAAGGACTCACCGCTCCTCCTTCTACAGGAGTTAGGGCTGTACTTCACAAGTAGGGACAGCACAGCGTACAAAATGACTGCCCGTGGTCAGAGACAGCTGTGCTGCTCAAGGACAGTCGGGTGCTGAGCCACAGCAGCTTACAGTGCACAGCGCCAAAGCAGAGGAAAGGCAGTGACAACCTTCGCAAGTTATCACCTGCGCTGATGGGGAGTGGGGGGGGTGGTAGGCCAGATACAGGACGTGTGAGTCGGTTCCCGGTGAGGCACTGCTGCTCACAAACAGTCCCGGAGAGGAAAATGTTTACAAACAGTCCCGGAGACGAAACAGTTTGTAAGCTAAAACTCGTTTAGGGTTCCACTCTGTTGCCTCCGCAACCACAGGAAACAAGCATACCAGCCCCACTTGGGAATCACAGCTTTTGGGAACTTCACCTTGAAGAGCAGGAGTCTTTCTTCAGGTAGAATTGATCTCTTTAATGCCTTCTGCTGGGATCATTGCCTAAGCTCCTTCATTTGCCAAAAAAAGAAAAAAAGGACAATAAGAATCACAGCTGCTTGTGATGGTTCCACCCTCCCTTACCCAACTGTTCAGTGGTTTAACATTCAGCCTGAATGTTGCAGACCTACTTTTAATTCTCTCCTTTAGCTGAGATGATTCAAGGCCACATTGTTCCAGCGTTCCACTCAAGTGACCTAGCTACAAAACAACTGCATTAATAAATAAAAAAAATAAATAAATAAAAGGACAAAGACATCCCACCATAAACGCCTTCATGTTCTGCTGACCCACTTCAGTGGGAACACTTGGAGATTCTGCATGGTTCTTCCGACACTGATTTTGCCAGGACTGAGAACTGCAATTAGCATCTAAAACCAGTGTTACTGGTTCCAGACAGACACAGACTTCTTGCATCAGAGGTGAGCAAGGGTTTAAAATTTCTTTGCAAGAGAAATCCCAGGCTTCTGAATTACCCTCCGAAAGTTCATTTTTATCAGCCTCTTGGTCTGACATGTTTTTATGAGAGCGTTAAATGCCATTAAACTTGAGAGAGTAAAACAAAAGATTCTCCCAAAGGCAAGGCTAAGAACAATAGCAGTGAATTACAGTTCGTCATCACAAGACCAAATAGCATATAGGCGTTGCTATACAGCAACGTAGCCCTAAGCGAGAACTGGGGTTTAACAATTGCCATCTATTGCTATAAATACCAGCTGCCTCACTCCGAGCCTCAACAGTTTAGTTTATATCACGGGTTTTAGTCTTTCATACATAAAGTTATGCAAACATATAAATTTGAATTTGGGGTAGTTTTTCACAGTTAATCTTACAAAACAACAGGAGCGCTTACTGAGATACTGAGAGATGAAATGGATGAGCAGTGTATCTGGTTTGAGTTACAAGGAAAGCCTTAAGTGCTTTTGAAACCCAATCTTTTTCAAACGTACACCACATCTGTGTTTGTACATACATGACTGTAACAACGGCTTGCAGATACCTCTTTTTACTCTCTTCTGTAATGAAAGAATTTGATTAAAGAGCCAAAATTCAGTGCATACAAAAACCACAATTTGAAAAATCCCAACAGCATTAGTCCTTGTGGTAGGGGCAGAGCTTCTGTGGGAACCGACTGTATTTTCCTCTGTGTGCTGCACCAAACCAGCTCTTCGGGACTCCAAAAACCCAAAAGCGAACACAAACCCGGTGTTGTGAGCTGTCCGCCCTTCAGCCGGGCTGGTGCCGGAGCGGTAATGCCACCTGCCGATGGCTCCGGCCCCCGGCCCCGGGTCCCAGCCCGCTCCACGCCGGCTGGGGCGGCGGGAGGAGGGGGGCTGGTGAGGACCTGCACCTCCTTCAGCCACGGCAAAATCGGTTTCACCGACAGTTTGCAAAAGTTCTGTTTCGAGTTTTTATCTCTGCCCCCTCTAAATGTAAATATTTTCAGCAAAAAAGCAGCAACCGAGAGAAGACTTAGTTTTGAAGTGTTTGGATTTCTTCTTTTGTCTTCTCTGAAAGCGTTTTTAACCCTTTCCCCCCTGTTTTTCAGCATCTCCCACACTCTTTTCACAGGCTCGCTGTTGGCATCCTGTGACCCTGTCTATGTTCGGACAGTTCCTGTTCTCTGGCAAAGCTAACTGGGACTGAGGTAGAGCAGAAGCCTCAGAGCTTTTTCTTACAGGTACCCGTGAACGATTTTTATGCCATTGCCCTTCTCAAAAGACGGCACCTGGTAGGTTATTCATGAAAGAACAGTGTATTTCTAAAACAAATAATCACCGTCCTCTAATGAAATTTATTAAAAGTTCAGTTCACAATAGCAGCCTACTAAAAAACAGCGAAACGCTCTCAAATAACACTTCTTGATTTTGCAACCTAAATTCTTAAGGGTTAACAATGTAATTCCTAAAAGTGACAGACGCAGCTCTGATCGCCCTTTCTCTCAAGACCAAAAAAACAGAACCACAAGTATTCCAGTTATGACAAAGTTGCTTCAGAGTACTGTAGCAAATCTGCTGTGCATTCCATACCGCAAGAACTCGGGGATATAATTATGAGAAAGGGAACAAAAGGGAATGCCTCCTTCTCACACACCCAAAGAACCACTCTCAGCAGAAGCCCGTAAAAATATATTGTATATTGTTTCATTTGGAAAGCAAAACCAACATTTTCAGACAGAAAACAAAAAGGACAGAGACAGCACACCTTCCTTCTTCATCCAGCCCCATTCTCACTGGGCTTTGAAAAAAGATGGGAAGAAAAAAGAAAGAAAAAAATAAATGGTTGCAATGAATTGTAATGAATTCTATAATGTCGGTCCTGCAGATCTGGTAAGAGGCATCACTCAAGCATTATACTCACACATGGTACCTTTTTTTTTAAGAAAGCACTAGGATTTATCATGTACATTTTTAAAAAGCAGTATTAATATTGTACTCGGTGTCGAGAAATGGAGGCGCTAAGGTGGTAAAATACCCCCTCAAAAACACCCTTAAGATTTAAAATGTTTAATGTGCAAGTCTTGGACAGAAATCATTAATTTACAATGTACTAAAAGTTGAAGGATGGGAATTTCTTCATTGTATGTGCTCACAGTAGTAAGTGAAGTACTTAGTCGCTGAAGTACAAACATCAGTTTGCTTAAGTGACTTATGCTTCATTTTTAAGGCAAAAATAGGTAACCACACGACTGCATACAGTTGCAAAAATATTTACAGATATGATTAGATAAACAGTCCACTTCTAGCGTGAAAATTTTAATGATGTACTTAATATAGCAGTGTTTTATTTGAAAAGTTACCATGAAAAATGTAAAATTAATCTAGTTAGGATGAGTAGCACTGACATTTTTACCTGGGCCTCCACACTCACTGATCTTTCTCCCTAAACCTCTATCGCTATAAGCTGTCCTCTCTCCCTGCCCATTTCCAGTCTTACTCAAAGGTGCAGGTGTGCCCGAGCAGCCCCAGAGTCCACAGAGGAAAAAGCTGGAATGCTAAAAATGTATGCAAAAGGTCCCAACAAGAAGAAAAGAAAAAAACACAACCTGAGAAATAAAATTAAAGGAGGGGTGGGGGGAAGCTATCTGCAGGTATCCAGGTACTTGCTCAGTCATCCTTATCTTTTGCTCCATGTTTCAGGATGCGCGTGAATTCAATGTAGTTGAAATTCCCCTTTTTGTCGATGGGCGCCTCTCTGTACAGCTCGTCTACCTCCTCATCCGTGAACCTGTCGCCCATTGTCGTCAGCAGCTCTCGCAGGTAGTCTTCTTGGATGAACCCTAGAGTGAGACGTATAGAGAGAAACACAAAAGGGAAGCTGTTTCTTAGCTGAGTCTTCAAAAGCAGTAAGACAGACATGCCAACAGACATGCAGTTAACCGATACAGCACGGGACATATGCATTTGCACCAACAGCCCCAAATACTTTAGCTGAATTCTAAAGAAAGTCCTTCAATGCAAAGGGGAAGGGGGGAAGTTTGATACATTTCATACAGATTTTTGAAAAGAGGGCCTGATCTGCTGTGATCTAATAACACCTATTTCCATCTACTGATCTTCAACAGCTCAAAGTGGAAAAACAAGTTCCTGTCACTGCCAATCTTCATTACACAAGCTGTTCTCCTAATTGAATTATCTTTTTCTTGACTTAATTAGATATATTTGCGCATCCTCTATAAACCAGTCCTCCCTCTGGGGACTAAATCACCACTGCTTGGCTCTTCACTGCTGCACAATACTGTTGCTGGAAGCGGTTTACGTGGACACAGTGAACTGCTGGCAAGTGTCCAGGGAAAGA